AATGCAGTACAGAGTCACCATGAAGGAAACACACAGCGCAGGGCCCAGATGAAAAGTTAGTGCACCACATGAGGCACATCCATGAGCAAGTGTGATAAACATCCTATCTCATCTTCAAGCATCTTGAATGTGGCCATACATTTATTGCTGATTTGAATATTTAATTTTCTAGGTCCCCGTGAGTTCAGGTTTCTGCAATCTAGGGTGCATTTAGTCTCTAAGCAGCAGACTTCCTTTAGAATGAAGTAGTTTATGTAAGTGTTTGTTCCTTCAGTGTCTTGTAATCCTCAAGAAGCCCTTGGCCACCTACGGTAAGAAACCTCCTCTCTTGCAGAGCCACTTTAAAAAATCCCTGAGGCTTCCAAAACAATTTCATCTAACCTTTATTGGAAAGCCCACCATCCTCCCTCCTACACCCTACATTTGGCAGCCATTTTTCAACCCTCTCCCAGGTGCCTAAGTAAGACAAGTTGCACATGTGCACATACAAAATTATGTGTCCTTTACCAACAGCTGGCTTGGGAGGGGGAAACTCTGTGGCTGTAATCTGCAGATGTTTTATTTGAACAGATATTATAAATGGATTTTAATTGTGCTTTCAGATGTAAAACACCCACCAAGGAATAACCCTAATAGACCTGCAGAAACTCAATAAAATAAATCAATAGCATATGTCCTGGAAGAGTATTGGACCTTCTAACATTTTGATCAATACTGACATTTGACCTAAAAAATTTGTTATCTGCAGATTTGTTTTAAGAATTTGCTGATACAAGTACAACCACGTACGAGAAAACATTTTAGAGAAAACTTTAGTCTCCAATACACTTGCCAAAATTTTTCTGACACATTACCATGTTATCACCTCTCTCTTGCTTATGCAGCTCTTGTTGCAGGAAATAATCATCATTGTGGCAGATCCACATCCTCCTCTGAATCTCAAATGCCAACATTGTTCCATCACCTACCAGGTTGGTATATTAGCTCACTTCACGCAGGAGAGCACAAGCCACAGGACTAAGTCCGAGTTCTCCGTAAAACGCAGCCAACAAACCTTAGCCAAGTAGCTCCGGAGGCCCTAAGATGGGAGTAGTATGATCAGGCCCCTCACAGGCCCCTGTCCCAGCAGACTCAGTCTGTCGTTCACACTTTCCTTCTTCCTGACGCCTTGTTTGTCCGTTTTCATTGAACATATACATGCTAAATATTATTGTTGTCAGTTACTTACACCATAAGAGAAAACTAAAATTTTATTTTTAAGAAACAGCAAAAATGCTGAAAAGACTAACCAAGCTAAGAGGCAAGATGACAGGGTAATCTAAAAATCTAAGATTTGGCAGGAAATTTGGCTAAAGAAGAAAGAATTGAATAAAATCATCATACTGTGGTCCAGCAGTGCAAACAGTCAAACATGGCAGATTCAAAACAAAAATCATAATATGTTTCAAAAACAGATGGGAAACTGGGGCAATGATTGGAGTTTGGGGCTTAAGAAGGTTACACAGAGGAAAAGAAAGTAATGTTTTATTGAAGGGTTACCAAGTGCCAGGTCTTCACAACTTTTGAGACAGAAACATTCTTCTCCCCCTTTCCCACTGAGGAAACCAAAGTTCAGAGAGGTCAGTTAACTTCTCAGGGGGCCCCAGCTCCCGACTGAAAAACTGAGATGCAGACTCAGGCCTGCCTCATTCCAGAGGCTTCACCAGTTTCCAACATGCCATTCTACTGATCTCTTTTATTGTCTTCCTGGCCAAATCTCTGAAATACTAAAGTTTATGATCTCTCACTCCTTACATGTGCTTTTTCAGCTGTCGCAGTAGTCTGTGCTCTGTGTCCATGAAGAAGGCTGATCAGATTCTCACAATTTCCTTTACTAAACCATGCTGGGCCCTCTTTTAAGACTTAGGTTATGTTCTCTTATTGTTCTCTAAGAGTAGGAGAGTGACAGATACCAAGGGAATAAAACAAGTGCAGGGACTCACGCAAAAGCAAAGAGTGTGAAGCAAGATTTTTTTTTTCAGGAAACCATATGTAGTGATAAACTTAAGCAAGAGAAGGATAAAGACAAAACTCAGCAGTGTGGTTACCTCTGGGGAAAGGCAGAAAGATGTGATATGGAAAGAAAACTTAGGTAGATGCAACATCATTTTTTATTGTTTTAGGGCTTAAGTTGGTAGCAAGCTGAAAGGCATATAATCTATTATTAAGCTTTGTAAATAATGTATATGTTCATATACTGCTTTGCTGTTTCATATATTACATTAAACATTTAGAAAGACATTGGTCCAAGCCCAGAGCAGCAGGGCGGCCCAGGCACTCTCCATGCAACTAAGGTCCTAAGGAAGACCTTGCTGGTTCCTCCTTCCTCTGAACAAAGCACTGCTGTTCCACAGATGTGCTCTCTAATTGATCACTGAGAGTTGAGTCTGTGCTCATACAAGGGAATGGCACGCCATGAAGCAACTCTTCTTTCTTATCAATAACTGCAGTTTGGGTACTCCCTTATGGATAAATGATGAAATGCCCCTCTGGCCTTCCACCCTCCTACACTCTGCTCCATTCTCCAGGCATGCAAATGCAATTTTTACCAGTCAATCAGCGAGGGAAGGAATGCCAGCGTGTTTGATTGGGCCTTTGTCAATACAATGCTGAATAGGAAAAATGGTCATTTTACTGTACCAGCTGGTAACATTTTAAAAATAAAGTAAAACAAACAATACTCACTCACTTAAAGCCAGAATATGTTACATTCTTTCCCCTGCATAGGAAATTGGAAAGCTTTCCCTTTCAGCACTACAGCAATATTGCACTTAATTCAATGTTTGGCCACTGTCTGCCTTCTCCAGGAGACTGTAAGTTTTATGAGGGCAGCTGTGTCAGTTCAGGCATTTCTCCAGTGAAGACATACAGATGGCCAACAAGCACATGAAAAGATGCTCGACATTGCTAATTGTCAGAGAAATGCAAATCAAAACTACCAAGAGGTATCACCTCACACTGGTTAGAATGGCCATCATTAAAGTATACAAATGATGTGTGGAGGAAAGGGGACCCTCCTACGCTGTTGGTGGGAATGTAAATTGGTGCAGCCACTACGGAAAACAGTAAAAAACTTTAAAAAGTTACCTTAAAATACTAAAAATAGTTACCACATGAACCAGCAATCCCACTCCTGAGCATATATCCTGAGAAAACTCTAATACAAGAAAGATACGTGCACCCCAGTGTTCACAGTAGTGCTGTTGACAATAGCCAAGCCATGGACGCAACCTAGTTTCCGTTAATGGCAAGCAAAGCACCAGCATGCACAGGTTTTACATCAAATCTAAAAGATAAATTTAGCTGATGTGCTTTCCAGTTAAACATTAGCTTTAACATGGACTGTGAGACTCTTAACATTTTGAGTTTATTTTTGTGTATGGTATGAGGGAATGTTCTAACTTCATTGATTTATATGGAGCTGGCCAGTTTTCCCAACACCACTTGCTGAAGAAACTGTCTTTTCTCCATTATATAGTCTTGCCTCCTTTGTTGAAGACTAATTGACCATAGGGGTGTGGGTTTATTTCTGGGCTCGCTGTTCCGTTCCATTGATCCACATGTCTGTTTTTGTGCCAGTACCACCCTGTTTTGATTACTATAGCTCTGTAGTAATGTCTGAAATCGGGGAGGGTTATGCCTCCAGTTTTGGTTTTTTCCCTTAAGGTTACCTTGGCAATTCTGGTCTTTTATGGTTCCATATAAATTTTAGGATTATTCTAGTACTGTGAAAACAATGTCGTGAGTAATTTGATAGGGATCACATTAAATCTGTGGATAAAAGCAATCTAGTTTTAATTGTTTAAAATAATAGTCTATACCTGACCAATAAGTATCTTTCATCTACTTTGCACAGGTTCTAAAGCATTAGATACATACTTGTTAGTTATGTATTTGAGTGCCATATTTTGTTTTTAAATATCTATCCATAATGGGAAGAGATTGCTGCATAATTATAAAAGAAAAATCTTTTTTTGTGTGTCAGTTAAGATAATAATCATTCCTTTTGTACCCACAGCAAATAACTATAGACACAAGCTAGATTTTCCCAAGAAATATTGACAGTTATGTATGGATAATATACAGGTGTAAACACCTAATACAAAGTAAGACAATATGGAGGAAATGATGAAAATTCATAGAAAAAAATAATTGAGTGCCAAATAATTTCAATATTGTGAGGTGGAAGTGAGAACATAGCAAAGGTACCTGCCTGCCAAGAGAGTGGATTTAGGAACTGAGTGTCAGGAGCACAGGGCTAGAGGGGGAGCTCGATGGTATTCTCAGGAGGCCTCTTCATCGGGAGGGTGTTAAGAAGAAGGATGATTAGGAGGAAAAGTGAGAGAAAGCCCCACAACCATTTCAGAAAATCGGTCCTTAATCCAGAATTCAACAAACAAGGGCCTCACTAGTGATCGGGTTAAACCAGGAGAAACAGCAAACAAAGGAACAGGATAGTCAGGTATCTAGGTGCACCCTAAGAGTGACCCACTCTCTGTGAGAAGAGCTGGTGAGAAAATCGGCCAATAGCCTTTCAAAGATAATAATCCTTCACCTCCTCTCAGTCGTTCCACTAGAATCATCTATATTTTGTGAGGCTTAACAAAGTTGAACATTTAAAACTAAATCTGACAAGTCACAAATGTTCATGTATTGCATGACTCTGTATGAAACGTCCAGAATAGGCAAATCCACAGAGAGAGAAAATGGATTAGTGGTGCCTAGGGCTGGTGGGGAGGGGGATTGAGAGAGAACGTGGGGTGACTGCTAATGGGGACAGGGATTCTTTTGGGGGGTGGTATTGTTTAAAACTGATTGCGGTGATGATTGTACAACTCCGTGAATTCACTAAAAGCCATTGAATTATTCACTTTAAATGGATGATTTGTAGAGTATATGAATAAAACTCAGTGAAATTGTTTAAAAAATACCCTAAACCTAAGAGTTCAAAACCAAATTGAGTGCTCACTTCAGCAGCACATATATATACTAAAATTGGAATGACACAGGAAAGATTAGCATGACCCCTGTGTAAGGATGACATGCAAATTCGTGGAGCATTCCATATTTTTTTTGACATTTGCAAATATTAACTACTGTATATAAAATAGGTAAACAGTAAGTGTTTTCTGTATAGCACAGGGAACTATATTCAATATCTTGTAGTAGCCTATAATGAAAAAGAATATGAAAATGAATGTATGTATGTATATGTGACTGAAACATTATGCTGTACACTAGAAATTGACACAACATTGTAAACTGACTATACTTCAATTAAAAAAAAATTAAAAACCACATAAAGAGTGTCATTCATATCTCACAGCATATAGAAATCTTTTCTTAGAGGATTATTTTTAAAGTTCCTTATAGAAGCATATTAATTTAATAGGAATTGGATATCTACTTATTGTCCATCTCTACTAGAGAAAGAGCAAGGACAATCAGGTTTAAAAAATAAACTTTAAGAAAGAGAATTAACAGATGATTTTTACAATTCAATTTGGAATTCTAGAAAGGCTATGATACACTTTCTCAACAAGGATTTTAAAGATTGAGCAGATATCCACATCTCATGATGATTTGAACAAAGCCCTGTATAAAGATCAGAGTAATAGTTAATTTTATGTGTCTGCTTAGCTTATGCCGTGATGCCCAGTATCTTGGCCAAATCCAAGTTTAGATGTTGCTGTGAAGGCATTTTTCTAGACATGATTGGCATTTAA